GGTCCGTGAGTTCGAGCCCCGCGTCAGGCTCTGGGCTGATGGCTCAGAGCCTGGAGCCTGTCTCCGATTCTGTGTCTCCCTCTCTCTCTGCCCCTCCCCTGTTCATGCTCTGTCTCTCTCTGTCCCAAAAATAAATAAAACGTTGAAAGGGGCGCCTGGGTGGCGCAGTCGGTTAAGCGTCCGACTTCAGCCAGGTCACGATCTCGCGGTCCGGGAGTTCAAGCCCCGCGTCGGGCTCTGGGCTGATGGCTCAGAGCCTGGAGCCCGTTTCCGATTCTGTGTCTCCCTCTCTCTCTGCCCCTCCCCCGTTCATGCTCTGTCTCTCTCTGTCCCAAAAATAAATAATCGTTGAAAAAAAAATTTTTTTTTAAAAAAATAAAATAAAACGTTGAAAAAAAAAAAGAAAGGAGGGTGGGGTTCTGAGAACTGATCACGGTCATTCTGAGAACATGTTGCAGGAGCAGCAGCTAGATAGGGCTTTGACTGTGGTGGCTTTCTGAGTTCATAAGACCTTCTCTCTAGACTAGCACTTCAGTCATGAGCCTTTATCCCTTTTAGCCTGTTACCCCTCCGTACAAATGCCTGTGCCTTTGGGGGCTTTGAGCTAGTGTTTTGCTTTTAATTTTTTCCAGCTGTAAGGTTTTTTCCCTTCTTTCCTCCTGTTGGGTTGTTTGAAGTCAAATTCAGCATGAATAAAAGAGGAAAGTATACGACATTGAACTTGGAGGAGAAAATGAAGGTCCTCAGTAGGATTGAAGCTGGACGATCTCTAAAAAGTGTAATGGATGAATTTGGGATCAGTAAGTCAACATTTTACGACATTAAAAAGAATAAGAAATTGATTTTGGACTTTGTACTGAAGCAGGACATGCCATTAGTAGGGGCTGAGAAGAGAAAGAGGACGACGGGAGCCAAATACGGTGATGTGGATGACGCGGTGTACATGTGGTACCAACAGAAACGCTCAGCTGGCGTCCCTGTTAGAGGTGTGGAGCTTCAGGCTGCCGCGGAGAGATTCGCACAGTGTTTTGGGCGCACGGACTTTAAAGCTAGCACCGGTTGGCTTTTTAGATTTCGAAACAGGCACGCAATCGGGAATCGAAAAGTATGCGGGGAACAAGTCCTAAATGCAGCTTCTGAAAACGTTGAGCCATTCCGACACAAACTCTACACGCTTATGCAAGAGGAGAAACTGAGTTTGGCTCAGCTGTACAGTGGGGGTGAGACTGACCTCTTTTGGAAGTCGATGCCAGAAGACATTCCGGCATGCAGAAAAGAGATCTGCCTGCCTGGACGGAAAATAAACAAAGAACGGTTGTCCGCTCTTTTATGTGCAAATGCGGATGGAACTCATAAGTTAAAGTCCATCATTATTGGCAAGTCAAAGCTGCCCAAAAGCATGAAAGAGGACGCGAGTACATTACCTGTGATATATAAACCTAGTAAAGATGTCTGGTTTACCAGAGAATCGTTCTCAGACTGGTTCTTTCAAAACTTCGTTCCTGAGGTCAGGCATTTTCAACTTAACGTTTTAAGATTCCATGAAGAGGACGTCAGGGCCTTGTTACTTCTAGACAGCTCTCCAGTTCACCCTTCCACTGAATCACTAACCAGTGAGGATGGCCGAATAAAGTGTGTGTTCTTTCCCCCTAACACTTCCACCTTGATTCAGCCAATGAATCAAGGTGTCATCTTGAGCTGCAAACGGCTTTATAGGTGGAAGCAGCTTGAAGAGAGTCTTGTCATTTTTGAAGAAAGTGATGATGAGCAAGAGAGAGGAGAAAAAGGAGTTTCCAAGATTAAAATCTACAACGTAAGAAGTGCAGTTTTTAACTGGGCAAAGAGTTGGGATGAAGTAAAACAAATCACCATAGCGAATGCGTGGGAAAATCTCCTTTACAAAAAGGAGCCCGGGTATGAATTTCAAGGCTTAGAAGATGGAGACGATGGAGAAATCCTTGAGAAATGTGGGGAGTTGGAAGCCACACTGGCCGATGAGAGGGTATGGTTAAATGGGGATGATGAAGAAAAGGGTCATCCCCCAAAAGCAAAAAGTGAAATTACAAAGGAAGTTCCTCAGAAAGGAAGAGGAGCCAAAGAGCAGACTTCTGGATTTAAGTTATCTGCTGTAAGAGAGAGTTTGGACTACCTGCTTGACTTTGTTGATGTCACACCTGAGTTTCAAAGGTTCCATTTCACACTGAAAGAGATGCAACGAGAAATAGTAAAAAAGCAGTTCCAGAGTAGAATCCATTCTAGAATTGGTAACTTTTGGAAACCTAGACCTCGCATTATCAAGGATTCCTTCAATATGCCTTCAACCTCTAGTAATTAGGCTTTGTGTTTACAGATTTCTGTAGTTCTATGATGTTATACGATGTAGAATTGTTGTGAATTGTCATTGTGTTGATCAGCTGACCTCATTTTGCACAGCAATGTCCATTTATATATTGTTTCTAAAACATACGGTTTAAAAATAAATGTGTTTCTTTAAAGTATAAAAATATTCGTTAATCCACTTTTGCTTCTATTTTAGACAAGGATCTGCATAATAAGGAGTTTAGTGGTCCCAGATTATCTAAGGTGGAATGGATGGGAAAGCGTTACATTCTGTCTCAGTCAGCACATATAACAAGGAAGGTATAGGCTATTTCTGGTTATTTTTAAAAAGACTAAAAAAGGAAAAAAGATAAAAGTAGATTTGGTTTTTAGTTTAATGGTGTGACATGCTCTGCTTTCTTAAATCTGTACCACCTATTTAGTGTTTCCGTCCTCTTATTGTGGAATTAGCTGATTAGAGAAGATATATATATATATATATATATATATATATATATATATATGGTGAAAAGCACCCAACTTCTATCAACTAATGATAGTTTAACATTTTGGTATATTTTACGTATTTAAAAAATAGGCACATTACATTGTAAATACAATTTTATATCTTTTTGTGTGAACATACTTTAGGCCTATGCGTTAATAATACATTAGTGTTTGTTCTAAGCCTGGGGTAGAATGGACTGTGGAGGAAGTTGATGGGAAGGTCCGGTGAGCTTACTGTACAGCTTTTTAGTTCCTTTAAATTTAAGTGATGGCATCGAACGCCCCTCCCCCGTGGGTGATAAATTTCCAGAATAAGTGACCGGGCAGTCACACCCTTTTGAAAAGTATTCACTAATTCTGGAAACTTCACGTTGCCTTTGCATGCTGTGTACCGAGCCTGGTGTTGGGCATTTAGACCTGAATTAGAAACAAACCGAATAGGAGCACACCCGCGTCCGATGTGTAAGAGCTAAGAGGAGTATGAAGAGGGCTTCGTGAGTGCTTGGGTAAAAGGGGATGCATCTGAGAGGGTCAAGAGCGTCACTTCTGAGCTGGGCTTTAAAGTTTAATGAGGGCAGGGGCGCCTGGGTGGCTCAGTCCGTTAAGCTTCGGATTTCGATTCAGGTCGTGATGTCGCGGCTAGTGAGTTCTCTACCGCCCCCC